GGGCTGGGTTTGAACCCACCACCTCCAGCATATGGGGCCGGCACCCTACTCCTTTGAGCCATAGGCGCCACCCCAGATATTATAAATTTTTAGAAGCAGCCATTGGTGATGGATACTCAGGTGTCTTGCCCCACTCAGATTGGCAATATCAGTAACCTGAGCAACTTAGAGGCACTGATTAGCAATTAGAAGTATCTCTCTTTAATAAAGTTATTATTCAATGAGTGCCCCTTTAGAGTAAAGGATCAGATCACCTTGGTGGGGAACCAGCATTTTATTTCAAGACTGATTTCCAGATGAGGGAACTGAAATCTGAGATGTTAGGCGAGTTACTCTGTAGAGATGTATTTAGGAACAAGGGGGTGGGGAAAATTGTAGCAGTTGATAGAAAAATGAGCCACCAATCATAAATAAATCAATTTAACCACCTCAGACACTTTCCGTGCGTCTAAGTCATACTCGAGTGCACTGGACATCATCTCTTCTTAAATGGTGAAATGTACTCTCAAGTGGAGGGTAGATCTTGATACTGAATTTTATCAGCCTTGCTTCAAACACTCCATTGGTATTTAAACAAACTTCTAACCCAAAGGCATCATTATTATTCAAATGTGTGGAAATCAGCAGCTTGCAGAGATAAGAACACAGGATGTGGGGTTAACCAGCAGGGAGGTGAGAAGGACTCACTTATTTCTTTTTATGATGCCCTGAAGCCTACCTCTGGCATGGGGGGTGGGGGGATGTGGTGCGGGCTTTTGAAAAAGTAAAGAAACAAAGACAAGTACCCCAGAATGGTCCTCGCCTGGACACCAGTCAGACACTGTTGACAACAATTCTGCCTGCTTCCTCCCTTCTGATAGTACCTGGTCTCCACAGGAAAGGTAGTCACTGGTGAGTGACAATCTCAGCACCTTGGTGTCCTCCAGAGTTTAGGAAAGAAAACCTGGAACGTATTAAGGGCTCACTGAGTGACTGTCAGATAAAGGGGTGAATGAATTAGATTCATAGGAACTGCAACCTGGTGTCAGTAACAGCAGAATACATTCCAGTCAGGTGACTTCTGGACAAACATCACAGAGAACTCACACAACCTCGATGGTCCAGCCGGTATTCCCAGGCCACAAGTCTGCACAGCACATCCCTGTACTGAATACTCCAGGCAACTGTAACACGTGGTAAGTATCTGTCTACTTAAACACCCCTAAACACAGAAAAGGTGCAGTAAGGATACGGCACATAACCTTACGGGACCACCATTGCATAGGCCGTCTGTCATTGAGAGAAACATCATTACACAGTACATGACTGTGAGGAACTGTTGGTTAGCAAAGAGATGGAGTTTTGTACACATAAAGTTTGTTCCCTGTTCTTTAGGAATGGCTACTCTAGGTGGAGAAGAGAAATGAGTGCCTCTACCCAGTGTCACCTGCCCAAGGGCAGTCTAAGTTTCAGAACAGAGTAGAGGAGGGGAGAGGCCTGGGAATGGTCCCTTGGCATAAAAAGGTGTGGATGGAGGGGAGGGGCACGAAACCAGGTGTATGGGTGGTGGTGGTGGAAATTGTGTGTGTGTGTGTTTGGGATGTT